AAGTGGTAACTGATTTAGCAATGAAGAGGAAGCCACAAACTAAGATACTTTGTGTGGTTCTTTTGCAGTCACCTGAACAGATTAACCCAGACAGTGCTAGGGAATAGTAGAGGTGGAGAAGCAGTTTAGAGGAGCAGGGCAGAAAGCAAGCGGTCATTTGGAAGTCTGTAATCAAAGGACTTGAAACCCTCTTATCACATATACAAAATATCAACATTCAGAAGCCTGCCTGAGCAGTACACACACACACACACACACAGGTTAAGAGACTCGAAATTTTGTTCCCTGCTGACACTGAACTGGAGGGATTCAAGATTTGGTGGCATCAGCAAAATGGGTAATCTGGGAGAGGCACAAATTACTACATGATGTGCCAAACAGAGAAAGAAACTTGGAAAGAGGAGGTCAAGGGATTTAGGAACCAGTGGTTCCATTAAGGTGGGCATCAGAGAGACATCAAAGAGGTCAGACACATGGCAGTTCTCCAAACAAGAGTGGGAAGATGAAGAGCTCCAAAAGTGTAATGAACAATATTGCCAAAATTAAGAGCATGGATTTCTAAATAAGGCAGTATAGAAGCTCAGCCATACTTTTCTAGATACAGCAATCACAACACATCAAAAGTGTGGACCTGCTCAGGAGAAGGTGGCACCACTAAACTGGATCTATGTTTTCATTGCTTTATCTTATCAACCCTTCGAAATGATCTTTTTTTTTATTACTCAAGTGAATGTATTTACTTTGAAAAACATAACAATGATTAAAACTATCTGAAGTTACATTAAGTAAAAATATAGGATAATTTCATAAGTAATATTGTCAAAATATTGAAACATACAAAAAACATACACTCCTATTCAACACAGTATTGGAAGTCCTAGCCAGAGCAATCAAGCAACAGAAAGAAATAAAGGGCATCCAAATAGGAAGAGAGGAAGGCAAACAATCCCTGTTTGCAGACGACATGATTCTATATCTAGAAAACTCCATTGTCTTGGCCCCAAAACTTCTTAAGCTGATAAACAACTTCAGCAAGATCTCAAGATACAAAATCAATGTACAAAAATTACTAGCATTCCTATACACCAAAAACAGTTAAACTGAGAACCAAATAAAAAACAATCCCAGTCACAATTGCCACAAAATGAATAAAATACCTAGAAATACAGCTAACCAGGGAGGTGAAAGATCTCCACAACGAAAGCTGAAAAATACTGCTCAAAGAAATCATATGACACAAACAAATGGAAAAACATTCCATGCTCATGGATAGGAAGAATCAAAATCATTTAAATGGCCATGCTTCCCCAAAGCAATTTATAGATTCAATGCTATTCTTATCAAACTACCAATGACATTCTTCACAGATCTAGAAAAAAACTATTTTAAAATTCATGTGGAACCAAAAAGGAATCTAAACAGCCAAGGTAATCCTAAGCAGAAAAACAAAGCTGGAAGCATTACACTACCCGACTTCAAACTATACTACAGGGCTACAGTAAACAAAACAGCATGGTACTGGTACAAAAACAGATACACAGACCAATGGAACAGAATAGAAAGCCCAGAAATAAGTCCACACACTTGAAACTATCTGATCTTTGACAAAGCTGACAAAAACAACCAATGGGGAAAGGATTTTCTATTCAATAAATGGTGCTGGGACAACTGGCTAGCCATACACAGAAGACTGAAACAGAACCCCTTCCTTACACTATATACAAAAATCAACTCAAGATGGATTAAAGATTTAACTGTAAAACCCAAAACTATAAAAACCTTGGAAGACAACCTAGGCAATATCATCCATTCTGGACACAGGAACCAGCACAGATTTCATGATGAAGACTCCAAAAGCAATATCAACAAAAGCAAAACTTGACCAATGAAATCTTATTAACCTAAAGAGCTTCTGTACAGCAAAAGAAACCATCAACAGAGTAAACAGTCAGCCTACAGAACAGGAAAAGATGTTTGCAAACTATGCATCTGACAAAGGTCTAATATCCAGCATCTGTAAGGAACTTACGTTTAGAAGGCAAAAACAAACAACCTTATTAAAAAGTGGGCAAAGAACATGAACAGATTCTTTTCAAAAGAAGACATACATGTAGCCAACAGTATGTGAAAAAAGCTCAACATCACTGATCACTAGAGAAATGAAAATCAAAACCGCAATGAGACACCATCTCACACCAGTCAGAATGGCTATTTTTAAAAAATCAAAAAATAACAGGTATTGGTGAGGTTTCAGAGAAAAGAGAATGCTTATATGCTGCTGGTGGGAGTGTAAATTAGTTTAGCCATTGTGGAAAACAGTGTGATAATTCCTCAAAGAACTAAAAACAGAACTATCATTCAACCCAGCTATCTATTGCATTACTGGGTATATACCCAAAGAAATAGAAATTGTCCTACCACAAAGACACAGGCACATGTATGTTCATTGCAGCACTATTCACAACAGCAAAAACATGAAATCAACCTACATGCCCGTATTAGTCCATTTTCACACTGCTGATAAAGACATACCCGAGACTGGACAATTTACAAAAGAAAGAGGTTTAATGGACTTACAGTTCCACATGGCTGGGGAGGTCTCACAATCATGGTGGAAGGCAAGGGGGAGCAAGTCACATCTTACATGGATGGCAGCAGGCAAAGAGAGAGCTTGCACAGGGAAACACCCCCTTATAAAATCATCAGATCTCATAAGACTTATTCACCATCACAAGAACATCATAGGAAAGACCTGCCCCCATGATTCAATTACCTCCCACTGGGTCCCTTCTGCAACACATGGGAATTTAAGATGAGGTTTGGGTGGGAACACAGCAAAACCACATCAATACCCATCAATGGCAGACTGAATAAAGAAAATGTGGTACACATACACCATGGAATACTATGCAGCCATATAAAAGACTGAGATCACGTCCTTTGCAGGAGCATGATTGGAGCCAGAGGCCATTATCCTTAGCAAACTATCTCAGGAACAGAAAACCAAATGTCACATGTTCTCACCTATAAGTGGAGCTAAATCATGAGAACACATGGACACAAAGACAGGAACAACAGATACCTGATGGTAGACGGTGGGAAGATGGTGAGGATCAGGAAAAATAACTAATGGGAACTAGGCTTAACACCTTGATGATGAAATAATCTGTAAAACAAATCCCTGTGACACAAGTTTACCTATATAACAAACCTGCAAATGTACTCCTGAACTTAAAATATTTTTAAAGAAAAAAACATACAAAAAATGAAGCAAATATGTTAAATTTAAGAATTTTTTATAGGTTCAAATATTTTCCACAATGATCATCTATTATTTGTAGAATCATTTAAAAACCATAATGGAGGCCAGGTGCAGTGTCTCACAGCTGTAATCCCAGCACTTTGGGAGGTCGAGGCAGGTGGATCACTTGAGATCAGGAGTTTCAGACCAGCCTGGCCAATACGGTGAAACACTGTCTCTACTAAAAATACAAAACTAAAAAAATTAGCTGGGCATGGTGGCATGTGACTGTAATCCCAGCTACTTGGGAGACTGAGGCTCAAGAATCGCTTGAACTCAGGAGGCGAAGGTTGCAGTGAATTGAGATTGTGCCACTGCACTCCAGCCTGGGCAACACAGCAAGACTCCATTTCAAAAAAAAAAAAAACATAGTAGAAAAATATGAATATAAAGTCTTAATATAATTTATTTATGATTATTGTGCCTATTACACTTTGGCTGTGTCCCCTCCAAAATTCATATGTTGAAACTTAATGGTGAACGTGATATTATTAAGAGGTGGGACCTTTAAGAGGTAATCAGGCCATGAGGGCTTCTTCCTCATGAATGGGGTTTTAAGATCCTTATTAAAAAGAGGCTCCACACAGTGTTGGGCTCTCTTGCCTTCTGCCCTCTGCCATGTGAGAACACAGCATTTCTTCTTTCCAGGGCATGTAGCAACAAGGTGCCATCTTGGAAGTGAACAGGCCTCATCAGAGAAGTGAACCTGCTGGTTCCTGGATCTTGGACTTCCAGCCTCCAAAACTGTGAGGAATAAATTTCTGTTCTTTATGAGTTACCCAGTGTGTGGATTTTTGTTATAGCAGCACAAATAGACTAAGACAATGCCACTTCAGGAAAAGCAATGGAACATTCAAAAACAAATAAAATACTCAAATGCTAATAAAACAATGATGAACACAATAAATATATGCTGTTATAGTTGTCAAATAAAGGTATCTACTGTCCCTGAATTTGATAAAAGTGATTTTAAAAAATTCTAATAGATTTTATTAGAAATAATGTTTACTGCACTTCAATAATGTTCAATGAAAATCAGAAAAACGGAATTTTTCTGGGACTGGCAATCACCTTAGTGTGGGACCTGCTAGTACTCCTGCCTTAGAGAGGATTGCTCCAGTGTAAGAAAAACTACTCTCAGGACTGGAAAGGGCAGACTCTACAGATTCCCTTTAGCAACTTATTCAGTATCAACACCATTTTAAGTAAGTTTTCTTCCCTGTAAATATAAATACCTGGTTCTGTAGCTCAAGTCATTAGCATTCAATAAAGACAGAAAAAGAAAATCATAGCTCACTATTTTTGCCTAATGAAGCCTCACTTAACATTAATTTTCTTGTATCTTAGCACCTGGCACAGAGGTTCATCACATGTTAATGAAACAAAATATAGATGAATAAATAAATATTATAATGAAATCCCTTTTAATTTTTTTTTTCCCATGGGAAAAATAATCTCAGTTTCTTTAGTCTTTTATTGCGGAGTAATTTCCTTTTAACATTTACTAGTCTTTGTGGCTTTCCTTCAATTTTTTGATGTTTCCAAGACGGCAAGGCCAAAACTAGGCACAACATTCATGGCTGGTCAGGAACTTACCAGAATTGTTTTTATGATATCAATGTTACATAAATAGTATAATAAGTAATTTCAGAACCATACTCTAAGTTTCCACCCATACAAATAATGCTGAAACACGTACCTCAAGAACCAACCACAGCTTGTCTCCATTTACTTTATCCTTCTTAAAGTATATCCCATAGAATCTGACCACATTACGGTGATCAGAAAGTGCTTTTAAGATGTTATACTCTGCTTCAATCTCTTCATCAATATCCTAGTTTCAAAAAGTCGTAAGAATAGAACTGTGAGAAAAACATGAGTAATGTCAAAGAAACAGATTATAGAATACCAAATATAGAATTTGATTATATCAAGGTCATAATAGTTTTTACTGTGCTTAGTATTATGTACTGTAATTTCTCATTACATTATTTAAGGGGAGAGATTGTGATTTTCATGATAATCAAGTGAATCTCAAGTTATATCAATTTCATCAAATTTTAAAATGGATAAATAAAATGTTATTTTTATATGCAATTATAAGTAAACATCTATCGAGAGCTACTCCAGATGATTTTGCTTTTTTGTATTATTAACTTTGTTACAACGGCAAAGCCATTGATCTGAAATAGTAAATTTTAGGACTGGAAATCTGGTTCATTTTGTTTCTTTGGAAAACAGGACATTTAGAAGCTATCCAAAACTCAGTCATACAAACAATAAATTCCCACTTTTCCAAAAAACTCAAATAGAGTTAAGTTATAAAAGATTGCACAAAACCTTTAATGATCTAAAGGTCCATTCAGCAAAAGAAGAACAGGTTGCTATCTTATCAACAAGAATGGAAGACAGCCACTTAGTCATATTTCTAGAAAATCAGATATATATGAAACAATTCACAGAGTAATAAATAAAAGAAAGCTTTATTAATATTGCTTTTACAGTGACATTTAATGCTTATGTTATTTTATTATAGAATCATAGAATCACAGAGGTAGAAATTTAAATCTGAACTCTAATTTTAGAGGCATAAAGTTAAGCCCTGAGAAGTTGGAGTCAGAGCTGGTTAGTGTAAAATCCAGATATAGACTCCAAGCCTGCTACATTCTCATCTTACTCATTCAGCTCCTCTCTTGAAAATAAAATGACTGATTAAAAATATGTAATAGTAAGACTCCTTTAATTTAAAATAAGCAAATCTTTGCAAGATGTTTGGATGCATTTAAATTTATTTAAGATTATAATCTCTTGGCTATAAATCTTTTTTATTTGACTTGTGACAAGATGAAAGAAGAGTAAATAAATAATTATTAGAAAAATGTATATGTACTGTGACAAGAATGAAAGCAAAAGGATAAATTAAGTATAATAGTTATAAAATCAGTATTTCATTAAATAGTACTGAATATGACTTATAAGGTTTGTAGGTATACCATACATGAGTAAATTATGAAAGAATAGTGGTTACATGGATTATAAGCCATTTGTTCTCCATTAAGAAGGAAGGGAAAGAGATACACCATGGGCCAGACAATGGTATTGGACTGAATTTCTTTCTCTTGCTGCCATACACCTGAATTCCTAATGCAAAGGCTAGAGGAAAGAGAGGTATAGTCACATTGGTAGAACTTAATTTGTACCTCTGTTCCTTCAGTTTAAATGCTTAGAAGTTTCCAAGAGAATGTGAAACATTCAGCAACAGTTAAGCCTGGGCATACTGAGTCTGATTTTTTTTTCCTCCAGTGTATTTAATTTATTACTTTAAAATACACCTCCCCTACCTTTCTCCTCTGCTCAAAACAATATGGAGGAGTGTAGTTATAATGGGTTTAGCAGAAATAAACTATCAAAAAAAAAAAAAAAGGAACAGCAACCCTAAGACGAACAAGACCTTCTGCAGCATCTCACAAGTAGTAGATGAGCTGTAACAAGGACCTAGGACTCTGATGCCCTCTCTATACACATTTCATCATTTTCATCATGCTATGCTCCCATCATGTGTGCAAAAGTCTCTTAATTGGAGAAGTTGCTTTCAATAGATGTTTGAGGAGCATCTGATGACTAAGCTCATTCTGGCTCTCCCATGTGCTATGGGAGAGAAAGGTGTCTACCAGCAACCTGAAGATATTCTGAAACTGCCAGCTCTCATTACCAGAAAATACAATCTCAGTAGTCTCATGGTCTTAAAACAGAAAAAAGGTTTGGCAGTTTTGCCTATTACAACTGCTACTTAAAAAAAAAAAAAGCAAATGGAGGCCCCTACTGTGGCCTCCTGTAAGCAGAGACTGGCAGAGTTGAACATGAAATTTAATTCTTCACAATAAGGAACTTTGCCCTGATTATAAATCCACACCATGTTTGCTTTGGAAACATTTAAGCAAACCTGAAACTTAATTTTCCTTCTCTGAAATAAATTTAATTTTAAAAAGTCTTCTTTAGTTTGGCCTAAGAGAAATATTTCCTGAAGCCTAAATAAACACAGGATGAAAAGAAGATATGGTTAAGATGCCATTTTAGGATTACTTGTAGACCCCTGAGTTTGTATCTTTACAATTTTTCATGTCTAAAATAACATTGAGTCAACTTCAATAACATTGTCGATTGAGAGCTGCATTTTTTGTGTGCTTATGCAATTATTCATCAAGTACTTATTGTGCCTTATTACATATATTAAGCACAGAAACTTGGAAAAGCAAATAAGTAGACTTTTCCTTCACCTTTATCTTCAAATTGTAACCTGTTTTAGACTGCTATTGTGATGAATAAATCAAGATAAAATACTTACAGTCTTTTTAAGTGTTTCATACAGATAAAAGTAAAGCTAATTAGAAGGAAAAAATATGACTTACGTGAATTGGATCAAGAATTTTGACTGCTGCTTTTTGGCCATTTTTCTTATTCAATACTTTAAAAACTTTCCCATAAGTTCCTTTGCCAATTGTCTCAGTGATTTCCCACGTATCAGAAGGATCAGGAAAGTTATCAAAGATGATTGTTTTTCCAATTAATGGAAACATCTCAAAGGTTTAAATACCTGGAGATAAGAAGTACAGTTTCATCTACATTTGATTGAAGATATCAAATGGCACACACAAACCCATGGGAAATTAGCGAATATTTTCACTGATATGATAGAAAATATTCAACAGTAACCAAACGTATTTCAGAGTCATAGGAAATTTGAATTTCAATTCTCATTTGCAAACATTAATATGAATTTAATAATGCTTTGTAAACAGGGCTTTATTTCTATGTCCAATCTAGTCTCTTATTAATTGCTGTTAATTCTTTTTAAATTAAAATAAGAGACATTTATGTAATTTTGATTTTCTTCTTTATACTTCGGTATCACAACAAATCAAATAATTTTTGAATGAACCTTAGAGAAGATAAAATTCAACTTCCTCATTTAAGCAGATCTTGCACTTTATAAGTGATCATGTTTTATGTCACTTCTCTATGCAAAACTCAACAATGGGTACTCTACATGGCTTTTAGGATGAAATTTCCTTAACATAACCTACCAAATTCTTTAAAATATGGCCTTTGCTTAATGTTCCAGCCTCTTCTCTCATACACTATGATACAGCTACTCTGGATACCTCAAGGCATTTCTTTCTTGAAGACCTTAATATACACTATTCCTGACCCCATCTGCCTGTGACTTCTTTGCTAAATTGCAAAACCTACTTATTTTTCAGATCTCAGCTTAGATACCACTTCATACAAGTGTGACTGCTCTCCACCCCATCTGGGTTGCATGCCCCACCTCAGTACTCCAGCAGCACTCTGCACTGCTGTTATCTGACATCATTACTGTATGCCCAGCAACTGCAAGGGCTGAAATGATAGACCGATTAATTAAAGAATATGGCCAATGAGGTCATTTGTTGATATCATTATCAATATTATCAATAATATCAGTATCCAATATCATCACTGGTACCATTATTGTGATTGTAAATTAGATAGCATTTATGTATCTGATATCATCACTGTATGTCCAACACCTGGCACACTGCTGAAATAATTAATTGATTTGTCAGTTAATTAAAAGAATAGGTCAATGAGATCAAGTGACTTTATAAAGGACATTTTACATTTTCTTGACTTCCAAGTGATGCTCTTTTCTATATTCTCCCTATATTATATTACACCATTTCTATAAAACTGCAAAAAAGGGTGAGGATAATAAAAGAAAGGAAAGTGCTCTTAGCACTTCTGGTAGCCATCACATTATTTCAATTATCTATACAAACTACACTCTTTTCAATATATATCAATATTCCATATTAGCCCATGAAATTCACTTGTCTGGCCACACTCACAACTTTCAGCTTTATTCACATCACCAATCCACTGATCCTCAACTTTCTTTAAGCCCATCAACCCTCTTAATTTTTCACTCCCTACTCATTTCTCCTTCCCCAGGATAGACTCTAAAGCCTTGTATTATTGTGACATCTTTACAAAGGCTCTAAACACTCTTGTTCCTCCCTTTTTCCATCATATTCTCCTGGAGGGTGAAAACAACTCTGGTTAAATACTACATCTTCTTCACATCTGTGCCCATAACTGAGAAAACAATACAACCATGTTGACTAGTTTCACCTAAAATTGAGGATAACAAACTGACAATTACACTGTCAACTCTGCCCAGCAGCCCTACAGCACTTCTATTGTTTGTATATTCCCTGTTCTCTGGAGTTACTATTTCACACTGATATCTTTCCTCAAATTTGTTTCTCCACAAATTTTTCCCTCTTTGCCGTTTACTCTTTCCTACCAAACTTTACAAATGATGCCTGTACTTCATAATTAATTGAAAAAATGGAAGGAATACTAAATCCTTAATATTCTGACCTCAAAAGCTACAAACCAATGTGCATCAAATGTAGTAAGTTCATTGCTATCCAGGGTAATTGCTATTTGTCCTCAAATAGTCTTTTCCTTTGGTTCCTTCTTGTCCCGTAGATCTCAGTTCAAATGTCAATTTCTTAGGCCCTCCTTGACGAACCATTATAAAGTTAGCCTTCTCCACTTATGCTGTTATTCTTTCATTAGAATGTAAGCTACATGAGGTATGGGCTCTGTTACTTTGTGACTGTATCCACAATTCCCAAAACAATGCCTAGCACATGATAGGCAATCAATAAATGTTGACTAAATGGGCAAATGTTTATTTGTTCATTGTTAATTCTGACAGCGGAGACCTAATCTATCTTGTTCACTTCCAAATCTAATAATCGATTTGGCCTAACTCTGTTCCTGGAACATACAGTAAATGTTAAATATATAGCTGTTGAATAAATGAATAAATAGAGTTCTTCAAAAACTACATTTTTTTAAGTTAGGAAGAGAAATAAGGTTTAGGGAGAACTGAAAATATGATATTCCAAAACACAATAAGAGCACATTCTGATTCATTATACTTAAGGGCATATTATCTAGTAAATGGTTATGAATGCATGCTAAAAATTGTATTACTACATAAAAACACACTTCTGAATAGTTCTTAGAACACTTAATCTTTATGAAATTCATGCCTTTGATCCAAAATGCAAAGAGGTAATCAGTAATAATCATCCTCTTTAACAATTTCATAATCAGTGACAAAATCACTACTTCTTACATCTACTTGAGTCATGCAAATAAGCATTTATGCCATCGCTATAACATAAACGTTAGACCAAAAGACCAAATTAAACCTTGTTAAAGGTCTGAAATAGGATTTGTCAAGCAAGAGAAACATTCATTACATGGAATACTGCCTTTCAAGCAGGAATGTTATTGAACACAGTCTTCATTTCTGATATATTAACTCTTAGGAGTTAACTGTTGATTTTTCAATACACAGATGTAAGAATTAAATGAAAAAATGAATGAACAACAAATATATGCAAAGTACTTTTATGAGTTTTGGAAATACAAAGATAGAAAACTCATGGATAGATTCATAAACATATAACTATAACATATTATGAAAAATGATAAATAATAATATGAATAAAGTACTATAATAGCCCAGGTGAAAAGCAATTAATTCTGAAGTGATCAGGAAAAGAATCAGAGAAAATTCTGAAGTGGTCAGGAAAAGATTTGAGCTGGACACTAAAAATAAGCAGGAATTTGTTTAAAATGCAATTTTTTCTTTAACAATTCTCAATCAAATATTTAAAGCAGTGTATCAATACAGTATAAAACATTATAAAGCAATAATCACAAAATGACAAAAACGAGGCATTTTGGAAACAGAATATACCTAGCCATGTTCCATATAAAGCAAATGAACAAAACTCCCAACACATAGGTAAAATGAAGACATTTAAAATGACTGCTTCAAAATAATGAGGCTAGAATTAAGCTAGAATCAAGTCTCCTGACTGCTAAACTATACTTTTACCATACAAAGTTGTTTATTCTTTAAGAATGAAACAGAATGTCACAGCTAGTAAACAACTAATTACTTAATAACTACAGTAAATTGCACTTGACATAAAAATGTTTGTATATTTTCCCTAATCCTTTAGCATGCACAAAATTAAAAGTAATTCTCGAGCCTATAAAATTAAAACATATAATTAAGTTCTTAGTTATATGATCATGTAAGCCAAACAATTATTTTCAACATATATATTTAACATATTTTGATACGTGCATTTACCATAATTCTGAAAAGGTACTCGCAAAGCTACATTTTTAAAATGAATACTCATCTTTTTGAATAGATTTATTATATATTGAGCTTCTGGGTTTTTTTAAGATAGAAAAATTGGTCATAATACAATGAAAAATGTATCTTACTTCAGGATCTTCAGATTCATCTCAACAATTATTCTGCTTGTTTTTGTAAACATGCACTTAATTCTTCTTTAATAAAATAACCAAATTGGCTTCATTCTCATTCTAAAACACAGCAGGGCTGATCTCCCACTGGGTTATCTGTGTTCCCTCTGCCTAGAATGCTCTTTCTCCAGATATTGACATGGTTCACGCCGCCACTTCCTTCAAGTCTTACATCAGCCTTCACGTCCCCAGTAAGTCCCACCCTGACCATCTTAATTAAAATTCCAATCTTACTTCCTACATCCCATCCTGCCTCCCAACTCCTTGTCTCACTTACCCTGTTGCATTTTGATAACACTTATCACCTCCTAACACTCTCCATAATTTCCTATAATTATGTTTTATTTGTTTTCTCCACTACCAGAATGTAAGCCCCTTGAGGCCTGAAATGTTTATCCTGTTTTTTCACTGATGTACTTCAAAGACTTTAAAAACATGCCTGACACATAGTAGACAGTCCATAAATATTTGGTGAACATTAAGTAGAAACGAATAGAAAAGAATACATAGAAAATTTTCAAATGATTTCAACAATCAATTTTATCAAATATTTTTTAAAGAAATAATACCATCTTTGCCAGGCACGGCAGCTCACGCCTGCAATCTCAGCACTTTGGGAGGCCAAGGTGGATCACCTGAGGTCAGGAGTTTGAGACCCGCCTGACCAACATGGAGAAACCCCATCTCTACTAAACATACCAAATTAGCCGGGCATGGTGGTACATGCCTGTAATCCCAGCTACTCGGGAGGCTGAGGCAGGAGAATCGCTTGAAACTGGGAGGTGGAGGTTGCAGTGAGCCAAGATCGTGGCATTGCACTCCAGCCTGGGCAACAAGAGCAAAACTCAGTCTCAAAAAAAAAAGAAGAAGAAAAAAAGAAATAATACCATTTTATGCAATTTTGTTTTCAGAGAATAGAGATAGAGGGAACATGTGAAAGTATCTATAATAAGACAGACTGTACAAAATCAGATAAATTTATTAAACACAACCAAATGGAAATTCTGGATATAAAAAATAAAATAACTGAATTGAAAAATCTTACTAAAGGAGTTCAAGAGCAGACTCTAATAAACAGAAGAAAATATCAGTGAACTTGAAGACAAATTACTTGTAATTATCATCTGAAGGGCAGAGAGAAAAAAGAATGAAGGAAAATAAACAGAGCCTAAGGGACATACAGAACGC